CAACTCAGTAAGTACCATGGGGGCCTTTCCTGGGTGAAGTACCATCCCAGGTAAATAAAGCTCAGGCCTAAGGTCCAAGACCTGGTGCTGGCTGAGCTGATGACCACGCAGGCGGAACAGGGCCCCCCAGGCAGGGAGGGAGCCCGCCCCCCAGGATGCTGAGCCCTGTGGAGCCAGGGTTTCCAGAAGTGCAGTGGCCGAGGGGAATGAGTGAAAACCAAGTTGCCAGGGTCCCACCCCTCACCCGCTTCATCCGCAGTGTCTGAGCTTCCTCCATCTTATACGTTGGGTTTCTGTATAAGGTTTACAAATAAAGAAAAAAACATCAGGGGGCACAGGATGGCTTAGACTCTAGTGGAGATGCAGACACAACCGGCCACATCTGATCAGGGAGCGGGTGCTGAGACGGGCTGCCCAGACTCCGGCAGCTCCAGTGGGACCAGGAGGAAGGTGTGAGGAGAATGTGAGTCACTGCAGAGCTGAGACAGAAAGTCTGTAACCCGGCACCTGGCTGCACAGGGAAGAGGGAAGAGCAGGGCCAGGGCGACTTTCTGCTGGAGGAAAGGTGACGGAGGGTTGGTGGCCCTGGTGGAAGTGGGAGTCAGAGTTGGCTGGTGGCAGGAGGGAAGCAACCAGGAGGCATCCCTGGTGTCTGGGCAGGGAGACGAGGCAGATGCCAGAAACGGGGAAAAGATTTGATGAAAAATCAAGCTTGGAGGCAAAGCTGGATGAGTTGTTTAGTTAGAGGTAAAAGTTAAGTTCATGCAGTGAACAGAGTCACCAAGAATGAAAGCAGAGACTCGGGAACAGAATTCTGGGAGCATCTAAATGTGGGGGTAGGAAGAGCAGCTTGAAAATGAGGAGGTGAATTGCACCCCCACAGAAGAAGGGGCTCAGGAGCAGAGAGAGACCGGACACATCAGGGGCCGCGGGGAGAAAGCACGCCTGGGTTTGGGGTTTGGGCACCTTTGGGGAAGTAATTTCAGTAGGACCAGTGGCAGAAGGTAGATACAGTATACTGACTTTTTTATGATAGTCAAGATAAAAAAAATTCAGAATTACGGAAACTGGCATTTGTTGAGAGGGAGTATTTTGAAGTACCTTCTCAGAAGAGTCCACACTTTTCACGTGTAAGGAAAGCAAGCCGGCCAGGAAAATGTTGCCCCGAATTTCTGTTTTAATTGAGAGACTTTAAAATTAGACAGTTTCAAAGGGACCTTCGGCAGCGCATCACGTTAACCCTGTCCCTGCCCATGCCTCTCTTTGAAGGAAGGGCTCCCCTGGAAGGAATGCCCTCGCTCCAGGCTGATTGGAAAGCTTGTGTTGACAGCCTGAGGTAGGTGGCTCAGGCACAGCTCTGGGTCAGAGCCGACTGCCCAGGACTGGTGCTCTGAGGGGGGCGCAGCCCTTCAGGTTCCTCCCGTCGCCTGGTCCCCCGGGTGTGTGCACAGGGAGCAGCCCCACCTGTGGGAGAGGCTCACCCAGTCAGAACTGCTACAGGATGGGAAGGTCCACACAGATTGTGGGTGGAGCTCAGCACAGAGATCTCCCAGGATGGACGGTGCACAGGCCACGTCTAGGCAGCCCTTGGTGACCTGCCCCTGCCCACAGCAAGAGGCCCACCGACAGCCTCCTCAGATCGAAGGCTGTGCAGGGAGGCAGGCGGCTGCTGTCCAGGGCTTGGAGCCTCCACAGATGCCCAGCCCAGCCATGGGAATGCGTCCGCCTCCTGCCTTAGCTCTCCTGAAGGGTCCCTCCCTTCTCCCAGCCAGGTGAGCTGCAGCCCTCCCTCCCACAGGTTAAAACTGCCCAGCTCACTTCCTGTTTTCCTTCTAACCTATGGCCGTGGTTTAGCTCCATTCCTGCTGTCTCCATCCTTCCTTCTGACACTCAAGGACTCCTTACAGCGGCCAGAACACATGACCACTGGCGATGTGTCTCAGTGTCGGATTCCAGCTCCAGCCACCCTCCTCCTCCTCAGGTCATGGGGAGGCTCAGCCTGGGACACAGGAGAATGTGGGAAAGGTTTACTCCTCCTGTGTCACCCCGTTTTCTCCAGAGACAGCTGGAGCGTTTGCAGCGTGCCATCTGAATGGAAAAGAAAGGGCAATTGGAAATGGGCCTAAGACGCCCTCAGCCTGCAAGGCTGGCCAGAGACAGAGAGCCAGGCCTCAGGCTAGGCCGTGGCTGTGACCCTTGACCTTCAACTCCATCCAAATGAAAACCCCCAGTGGAGGTGATTGTCAGTGGCTTTGAAGTAAAAGCCAGGAATGGAGTGAGGAGGGTCACAGAGAGCCCCAGTAGAGACCCTCACCCACAGACTGACTTAGGCAGGGCCTCCGAGGGGTGAGGAGACCCAGCGCTGGTGCCCTAGCTCAGGCTGCGGACGGCGGAGGTTCGTGGTCTCACAGCCTGGAGGGCGAAGTCCATGTCAGAGCCCAGGGTGCCCCGGCAGGTTCCTGCTGAGCGGGAGGGAGCATCTGCTCCCACGCTCGGGCGTCCGGCGTTCCCGAGTCAGTGGCAGCCCTGGCCCGGAGCAGCACCCGTGCTCTTCCTCACTGGTCACAGCGTGCTCTCCCTGCTGTGTGTCTCTGTCCAAAACCCCCTTTTATAAAAGCCCACCCTCGTCTGTATGACCACATCTTACCTTATTTATGGGCAGTGACCTGATTTCGGTCACATTCAGGGTCCTGGGGTTAGGACCTCAACGTGAGAGTTTATGAGACACCCAGTTGTACCGTAATGAGGTCTGGGAAACACGGCGTTTACAGACGTGGTGGCGGCACCGCTGTCCCAGTGCAGGCCTGCTCGCGGTGGTCGTGGAGCTGGTGGCTCGCGGAGTGGGGGGCAGCCTGCCTGGGAGGACATGGTCCCTTCTCAGCGGCGGTGGCACTTTAAGATAAAGCGTCCTGTGTCACTGTTGGTCACGCACGCATGGAAGGTCCATCTTCTGTCGCGTTTGACCAATTGGACCGTGTCAGCTTGCAGGCCGAAAAATGCTATTTTTTGGTGGATAAATAAGGACGGATTTGACCTCACGCGTCGGCATCGTCCGGCATTCCGACCCTGGAGAAGGTCTGATAGATGGACAAGAGGCAACGTCTCTCCGTGCTTGTTCTGCCCCTATTACTTGGTTGGATTTGTGTGTTTTATTTAAAGACTTTAAAATTAATAGTGTGGAATTCTGAATCTGACAAAGAAAAACTGTCCTGTAAAATACAGGGCATTTAGACGTACATGAGAAGATACCCCCAAGCTGAGCTGAAACTGGAGGCGGGCGGGCTCCCCAGTGGGCAGGTGCTCCTCTCCGTGTGGGGAGAAGAAAACCCTCCTGGTTTCCAGGAAGAACAAACAGCACCAGGCACAGGAGCCAGTGGAAACAGGAATTACATCACTTTCACCCCGACTCGGACTTGGAACCCTTTGAAACCCCTCGCCGCACGCACATGGCACCGACACCCACTCTGCGCATCGGCAGCCTGTGATGGCGTGCCCTAAGCTTCCTCTCCCTGGGCGTGCGCACTGGCACGTTCTCGGTCTGCGTCCCGCTCGGCCATCTGGCTTGTCCTTGGGTCGGAGCCCAGGCACCCTCCTTAGAAAAGTCACGTTCCCGAGTGAAGCAGCCCCCTGTGCTGCCCACCCTGTGCCTCTTCCCCCCTGCTGTCCCCCCTGTGCTGCCCACCCTGTGCCTCTCCCCCCGTGCTGCCGGAGCCCCACTGGCCAGCTCCTTGCAGGTGCTCACTCCTTTATCCATCTTCACTTGACTGCTGGTCACAGAGCTAGTCCAGTCCCAGGCAGGTGCTCACCTGGCCCCTGAACAGTGGATCCTAATCCCGAGGGAGACATCTGTCACGCTGAGGAGAGCCCTTTGTGCTGGAGGTAGGAGTCCTGTTCCTTTCGAGGTCAGTCCTCTCGTCTGCGGACAGGAGAGCAGACAGGAGGCACACAGCACGCGTCCGTGTCTAACAAGGCCAGAGGTGGACCGAGGAGGTTTAACATGAAAAGAATAAATATCCAGGTTAAATATCAACGTGTCAAAAAGGCAACAGGCACAGTCAGTCGCTCCCAGAAGAGGAGAGAGAAATGGTAGCAAGGGCAGTAGGTGGGTCAGGCTTGGGGACTGTCCAGCGTGCACCTGCCACCAGGCGGAGGCACCAGCTCACGCTAAGGGGCCACTTGTCCAGTTCTGTTCAGGTTTAAAGGCTGAGAAGCCTGAGGCCTGTGCTGGAGGAGGACATACCAGCAGGAATGTCCACAGGGCAGAATTCGTTTAGAAAACACAGGAAGCGACCTGAATGTCTATCAAGACATTTGATAGTCTTACTAGTTACACAGCCTGTCACAGAATAATAACCCCCAGTTATGCTCCGTTCCTGGGGGCCAGCAGAAGCAGACAAGACCTGCTTCCCAGGAACAGGGAGGGCTGCTGGATTCTGAGGAAGAGGATCCTGATGCCTCTGTCTCTTCACTCAACTATGTCGTTGCCTGTTGTTCGAATGAGAAGTTACAAGGAACGTTGATGTCCTGTTCTAGTGTTATGCTGCTGGTTAAGTGCAGTGTCACTGTGAGTTCCTCTGCGTCATCTCTGAGCATTGCCAGACTTGGTGCACTTGACCTGTGCTCTTGACGAGGCTGTGGTTTAGAACAGCCTGGAGAGGTTTCATCCCATAAGCCACAGGAGCGGGAAGCACTGAGGGAATGAGCCCACCCAGGTGACTTAGCTGGCAGGAGCAAGCCTTCCCAGACAGGGCTGGTCCCAGACAGGACCAACTGAGCAAGGCCTGGGAGACCCTTTTTCAGAGCCGAAAGAGTAGGTTCCAAGTCCAGGAAAAGAATTCTCCAGGGGAACTTCTGTCCATGGGTAGGAGAGAAGGCATTTGATCCTGGAGGAAGCTGAGGGTCCCTGCTGACCACTGCAAAGGGCATGCTCTCTATTTACACTTGTTCCTAATGAGCTGGTGCAATCATTGGTGCTGTGCATTGTTGTTCATGTTTTTCAGATGGAGAAATCAAGGCACAGAGAAATTAAGTGACTTCGCCATAGTCACAGCTGGGGAGGACCAGGATTAGAGCTTAGAGAGAACCCTGCCCCTGGGCCTGTGTCCTGCCCACAGTCACGCTGCCTCCATTCCTAGGAGAGAAGACTTCCTGCAAGGTAAAGCAGGTGCCTTCACCGGGGGGTGTAGGCCCCACCTAGGCGGCACCGCCCGTCTGCACAGCGAGCCGGTGTGCCCTGTGTGCATGTGAGGCCTGCCCGGTGCTCACAGGTCCTGACACAGGTCGACGTCTGGTCTGGACCACCTGTCAGGCTGCTTCCTTACGGAGCCACAGCTGCTGCCCCCTGAACCCTGCATCCTCCCCTTCCCACCTTCTTCCCCCTTATCTCAGTGCCTCTATCTTTCCTCCTTCTTGGCTGCCACCATGAGAGCCTTCCCTGCCCTTCTCTTTGACGGCTACCACCTCTCCCTCTGTGATGGGCACCCACCTGCCTGCAGGTGAAAGAAGAGAGGGCAGCTTTCTTTCTTCCCTAAGCTCTTACCTGTCTCTGCCCCTTTGGGGCCAGTCCTGGGCAGCACCCGTCCACTGCAGAGTCTGTGGAGGTGTCTGTCATCCTACCTTCCTCCTGAAACTTCTCCAAAACGTCCCCTTTGATCTCATTCATGACCCAAATTCAGACAAAGGGGGACAGGAGGGGTTTGAGTGTCATTCAGTCTCACATCCCACCACCTGGTGGGTGGACCCCAGCTAGACAGTGTCACCTATAGGCTTGACCACTTTCCAGGGAGGCCATGTTGCATCCGGTGTCCCCTTCAGAACCCTGTCATCCCACCTCATGCTCCTTCCTCCCCTGCCGCCGCCTTCGGGCACTCGCTCCTCTCTGCCTTCTGGTCCACACTGGTCCTTCGGGGTCTCTTCTGACCCTTCGGATAGCCCTTCCTCTGTGGATATTGTATTTTATCTCCAGTGGCCATAAACGGAGCTCACAGATTATACATGTTATCACTTGCAGACATAAGCTTCTACAGTTTTTCTGTTCTTTATTCTTATAGTACTGTCTGCCCCTTAAAAAATAAGTAAAACATATTTTAAAACACTGAATTTAAAAAATGAACTAGAGTCTAGTTACTAGACAGTCACAAGGATAATTTAAATATTGATATAAATGTCCAGTTCTATTAATAGTTTTCTATGTCAAAACATATTTGAGTCTTTGAATTTTATTTTCTTACTAACACTTCATCAAAATCTCAGTGAGGGGGACGTTAGGGTGGAAATGCTAACACAGACCAGACGGTCTCAGAAGCGTCTCGGGGACCTGCCTGCCCAGGGTCGGAGAGCAGCAGGCACCGCTTGTTCCGGGCAGTTCTCTCCTCGTGCTCATGTGGTCTCTTTATTGTTCGTGTCCCCTGAGGGGTGGGCAGGTCAGGCAGAGGCAGCTGCCGGTTAGGGAAGGCGCCTCGCTGTGGGCTGGGTGGGAGCACACAGCTCTGGGTGGACAGAACGGGGCCAGCCCAGGGATGCGCCTGCAGGGGTCATGACTGCTTGCTGGCTGACCGCCATTGTTTAGTTATATACGGAGAAAATTACCACAGCAAAGTAAGAAAAAAAAGGCTAGCAGAAAATATTTGCAACAGATAAGATGAGCAAGGGGGTTAGATTAATACATTAATACACAAAGAGCTATTTCAAATTAATGAGGACTTTTTAAAAAGAAATAAGCAAAAGGTGGAAATAATAACTGCACAGCAGAGGACATGCAAGAGGCCAAAAAGAAAATACGTTTAACCCACCTCATACTCAGGCAGAGCAATGACGCAGTGACCGGGGGGGATGGGGGGGGTCCCCCAATGGGCAGAATCACGCATTACTAAGAATGCAGCATTTTCACCTGTCTAGCAGTAGTGACAGTGTCGTTCTAAAAACGTAATATGGAAATACGGGTAATGTGTGTGACATTTATGGCACCTTTGTACAGTGGAAGAAAGCAAATACGTGAAATAAAACAACCTGAAATCCATTAGTAGGGGAATTTACAAGAATGGTTCAATAGGTTACAGTGTATGCGTTCTGGGGAATGGCACATATCCATTCAGAAAAGGAGCTTAACACAGGTACTTACCTAGAGAGGTGGCTGTGGTTTGGGCACATGAAAAGCAGCAGCTTAGGAAGAGTGTGTGTGTGGTGGGGCTGCTTCTGTAGACAGTGAGCATCCACAGGGGGAGCGCTCCTGTCTGCCACGTTCTAGGCACAGAGGGCACTGCCCTCGGGACCAGGAGATGGGCTGCTGGAGAGAGGTGGTTGTGACTGCCCTTCTGCCCCTGCACAGCTGCAGTGTCCCAGTGTGCACCCCCCCATACACACACACACACACACACACACACACACACACACACACACACACGACAGACGCTGTTGCAGGTCAGCAGGGACCCGTCTGGATTCTCCATGGTGGAAACGGGCAGATGAGATCACGGCTGTAAATGTGGTGCTAGACAAGGAAGCAAAACAGTGAGGGACATGCACCCAGAGACCATCACAGGGACTCAGTCCTGATGGGTCAGGTGTGAGCTCGGTGGTGTCCAGAGAGATGGAAAGAACTGGCAACAGACAGACAGCTGCAAGGCCCAGAATGTGATAGGCGATTGGATAGAGGAACCAAGACAAGACTTTGAGGTTTCAGACTGAAAGGATGATGGCTGAGAAACACGGGGCCGATGTGGGAGGTGGCAGACTCGCCTCACAGGTGACAGCAGAGGAGGAAGAGCTCTGCCCACGATACAGGCACACACGTGGGAGCGGGATGTACACCAGGCTGCGGGCGTGGAGGCCGAGCAGTCACAGCAGTGAGGCGGGACGGCCCGTGCAGGAGGAAATGCCACGCGTGTGTCTACATGGACGGGAAGGGAGAGGCCTCCTCAGGAAGCAGCTAGAAACGGGGCCCGCAGTGGAAAGGAGCGGAGCGTGTTGGACGCTGGCAGAGGGGTGTCCTGAGTGTGCGGGCACCTGGGGCAGAACTGAGGAGCTGGAGGCGGGGGAGTGGGCGGGGCTTCGGGGACCTTGCTGGGGTGGGAGTGATAGATGCGGGGGCCACTGTGGCCTCTGAACAGATTTAGAAGTGACATCCAGCGGGTGCGGAGTGCCCAAGAGAAGGGGGTTCAGACGCTGTTGGAGGAGAGATGTGAGAGGTCACAGGGAGGAGGGCCAGGTGAGAGGCACAGTGTGAGCCAGCCCAGCCAGAGGGGCGAGGAGCCGCTGTGGGAGGGCTCTGTGGCTGTCGCTCAGCGTGGGGCTCCATCGGAACCAGGCGAGCACCACCCGCCCCAGCCTCAGGGCGGAGCGCGTCGCTGCATCTCCCTTGTCTTTTCTCGCCCCGAATTTCTGTTTTCCCAGTTCAGTTGCTCTTCCTCTCTGAGCACCGACCTCCTCCTCACCAAGCAGCACCGGCTGGGCTGGGCTGGGTCTCTGTCCCTGAGGGTGTGTCACTGCTGCCACCCTCAGTGAGAAGGAAACATCGGAGCAGACACACCAGGGCTTTGTTCCTGTTTGATTTGCCTGATTTTCCCCATTTTCATCCTATGAGGTTGGATAACTGAACTTGGACATTATAAGCCACGAAGCCATGAACTGCACACCTACCCTCTTCTAACTTCACTCCCTTAATAATAATGCCATCCTTTCTCTCCACATAAGTAGGGACAGAACCCTACCTTCTAACATGTTTGCACTGCATTCATTTCACTGAAATGGAAAATTGTCATATTTTGGAAAAGAATTTGGTGACAGTAGTTTTCCTAAGCACTTTTCAAGGACGACTTGTGTAGAATTCCCAAGTCTTTCTGACCTTACAGGCCAATTCTCCTGTGCTGAGAGTAGGCGGGGTCCCGGTCACCTTGGAGACGGTGGTCCACGGGAACGGAGGCGCAGGAAGCTGTGAGCCCTGCGGTCTACACACTGCATTTCGCCAGGAGCGGCTTGGGCTCCTCTGTTCCTCGCTCCCCACGCTCCCTCCAGGCCCCCACTGGGCAAAGGGCGTCAGCGCTCCTCTGCAGTCTGCTGGTCAGGCTGCTGTGAGCGTGAGGGACCAGATGTGAGCCTCGGGAGGGGAAGGCAGGCCTGGCTAATGGACAGGTGCTGTCGCTTCCTGAATCCTGAAGGACCGGCTGCGGGAGGGGAAGGGCGGGGCTCAGGCTCTGACAGGTCCCAGAGGCCCCCCGGACGTGACCCCACGGTGCCCCTGCCTGTTCCTGCCGGAAGGAGAGCAGTTCACAGTGTGCAGGACGCAGGCCAGACAGCTCCTGCTGTCCTAGGAGCCCAAGGACAGCTCCTCCCTGGTCACTGCTGTGGCCTGAGCGCTCCGGGTGGTCAGAGCACAGCCTCCGGGTCTTAAAGGAGCCTCCCGGAATGGGTGAGCTTCTGACGGGCTTAACCTGAGGAAGTGCACATATTTAAAAAATATATTTTAATTGATTTCAGAGAGGAAGAGAGGGAAAGAGATAGAAACATCAGTGATGAGAGAGAATGACTGATGGGCTGCCCCCTACTAGGGATCGAGCCCGCAACCTGGGCCTGTGCCCTGACCGGGAATCGAACCGCGACCTCCTGGTTCTTAGGCCAGCTCTCAACCACGGAGCCACACTGGCTGGACAAGAAGGTGCGCATTTTATTGGGGAGAAAGAGGGAAAATGAAAGGCATGAAATAAATCCTGATTCCACATGCAAAGTTTACATTTTACAAAGTAACTCCCTTGCCCTCTCTTCAGGTTATTCTGGTAGCTTATATTGGTTCAAAAGTAAATGTTTTAAATTCAAGAGTTTTCTTTAAGTATAAAATCATGTAAAATTCCCATGAAAACCTGTCCTTATAAAAAATAAACCCTGGACTTGAAGGAGTGAATGCGTAAGTAGCGCTTTAAGGTGGTTTTTCTAAATGTAAATTGCTGGAGAGACTCAGAAACCAAGCCATGATCGTCGGGTTAACGTTCTCTAGTCTCAGAAAAGATGCGAGCTGATCGGTGAGACCAAGGCTGCTGGGCCATCCTGACCTCCCAGACGCAGGTCCTGCAGCTCTGGCCTCAGAGCCATTGACAGGTCACCTGGTGCTTCTAACAGTCACCAATGGGAGATAGGCCTTCTTTCAAAATGGCAGGCAGGCATGGAGAGGGCAGGTGGGGACGGAGGAGGGCAGGCAGGGATGGAGGGGCAGGCAAGGATGGAGGGGCAGGCAGGGATGGAGGGGCAGGCAAGGATGGAGGAGGAAGGCAGGGATGGAGGAGGCAGGCAGGGATGGAGGGGCAGGCAGGGATGGAGGAGGCAGGCAGGGATGGAGAGGCAGGCAGGGATGGAGGAGGCAGGCAGGGATGGAGGAGGCAGGCAGGGATGGAGGGGCAGGCAGGGATGGAGGAGGCAGGCAGGGATGGAGGAGGCAGGGATGGAGGGGCAGGCAGGGATGGAGGGGCAGGCAGGGATGGAGGAGGCAGGCAGGGATGGAGGAGGCAGGCAGGGATGGAGGGGCAGGCAGGGATGGAGGGGCAGGCAGGGATGGAGGAGGCAGGCAGGGATGGAGGGGCAGGCAGGGATTGAGGAGGCAGGCAGGGATGGAGGGGCAGGCAGGGATGGAGGGGCAGGCAGGGATTGAGGAGGCAGGCAGGGATGGAGGGGCAGGCAGGGATGGAGGGGCAGGCAGGGATGGAGGAGGAGTGATCCCTGAAGAAATGAAACATGTGGGGATGCCCATAGGTGTTAAGTGGCCTCTGACCTAACACTCAGGTGTACACGCTGGGGATGAACACCCTCCCCACAATGCTGACTGAAATGTTTGCTTTCTGCACGATCTGATCCTCTGGCTGTTCTGAAACAACTGTGTAGAAGCAGCATTTAAATCAGCTTCCATCCTTCCTTTTATGGTTTCCTGAGCTGGGGAGAGAGAGAACCATCACTTCCTGGTCTGCTGGTGCTGGTGCTGGTGCTGGCTAGACGTTGTTCTAAGTCACCTCATGACGTCCTCGCAGTAAGGAGGCTGGTTTCCCAGAGCCTGACACTCGGCAGGCTGAGCGATGGCGTAAACAGGGGGACAGCACGGAGCAGCCCCAAGTGGGCCCCACGGTGGTGGGAACTGACATGAGCAAGGGGCCCTTTGGACTGGTGGGGAGTATCATTGATCTAACAAGTGACGAATGGCAGAATCCGCTGTCCATCTGGGAAAAACTAGGTTGTCCCCTATACATAAAAAGCAACGGGCAAAATTTCAAGTAAACTATAAAACAGTTCTTAGTCATATGATCTCTTAGCTAAGGAGGCCAGTGTTGACTGTAACGTCCAGCAAGAAGGGCAGCCTCACTGCCTTTGGTGGGGGAGAGGGGTTCTCTCCTGAGCCACGGCCGGGGCGGCACACGCAGGTGCCCGCACCAGGTGCCCACGCGGGTGTGTGAGCCAGGGGACCGCTTGACAGACAGCCTGTGTCCCTCCTAGAGGTGTGAGCAGCCTGAGCCCTGTGGAAGGAAGGGAACCTCTAACACCGTGGTCGACAAACTGCGGCTCGTGAGCCACATGCGGCTCTCTAGCCCCTTGAGTGTGGCTCTTCCTAAGCCTTAGGAGTCCCCTAATTAAGTTAATAACAATGTACCTACCTATATAGTTTAAGTTTAAAAAATTTGTCTCTCAAAAGAAATTTCAGTCGTTGTACTGTTGATATTTGGCTCTGTTGCCTAATGAGTTTGCCAACCACTGCCTAGCATAACCCCTCAAGGTCTCTGCACAGGTGTCCCTCTGCCTGGGACACCCCCAGCCCCCCACGACTCCCCATACACCAAAACCTGAAACTTGCAATGAAGCTTTTAAACCTGCTCAGGTCTCAGCTCCACCAGGAAGCCTCTGCCCACTCTCCCGGACACGGTGGCCCTCCACGCTCCGCACCCCACGCTGTGCCCCTGCACAATGCGTTAGGCTTTGCTGGCATGGCACCAGGCTTGGGAGTTCTGTGTGTAGACCAGCAGGTTGGAGCGTTGAAGCTGCCCGAGGTGCTGTTGACATCCTGCGGGGCCGCCTGCGCCTGCGCCCACGGCTCCAGACCCCGTGGGGGCCCAGTGACCACGGACAGGGGAGACCACAGGCACTGCCTCGTGCGCATCCTCATTTCCTCCGCTCACATCCTTCTTCCTGGCCTCGCTCTCCCCGACGGCCCAGCGCTCCAGACGTTGGACCAGCCCGGTGACTGTCACCCCCCTCGGTTCTGCTCCCCTCCGTGCTCTGCACCGCGTGACCTTCTGGCTAAAATGTGTTTGTGAGGTGTTCCCGCCCCACCACCTGCTCAGTGGGCGACTGCAGCTGTGTAGCTGCTGGGTCGACTGTGCCCCTCCCTCCGGCCCCAGCCTTTGCCCTCCCTCTCTGCTCCCTCCACCCTTTTCCTGGCACTTATCCGCCTCCTGCCACCTCCTTAACCTGCCGTGGTCCCAGCCACTGGCCTCCCTCACTCATTCATCCAAGCTCTGTCCAGGGTGATACGTAGGCTCAGGTGCAGCCTGTCTTCCTTCCTTCCTTCCTTCCTTCCTTCCTTCCTTCCTTCCTTCCTTCCTTCCTTCCTTCCATGCTTCACCCTGGCTCCTCCTCTTCCGAAATGCTTATTATGTCGAATCTCAGTCTTGTATCTGAACACATCCATCTCCCATGAAAGGACATTAAGCCCATTGAAAGCTTCTGTTGTTTATTACGCGCATTTTTTATTTCCCGATGCCGTACTCGGCACCCAGTGGAGAAGGTGGCGTCTTGTGGCAGCTCTGGCCCCTGGGCAGGGCAGGAAGGTCCCAGGTGGGGCTGAGCAGCTCTGCTCCTGTGGTCAGAGGACCTGCGTCTCCTCTTTGCTGCTCTCCTGGCGGCCCGCCCGGTGCACTGGAGTCCCCCCCATGGGCAGTTTGCGTGTATAGTTATTCACACGCTGCGGAAATACTGGGTGCGCAAACCCTAGCCCTGATCCATCCCTCAGTGTGCTCCTTGGCTTAGAGACGGCATGTGGTGACAGGCCCTGCATGAACTCCCATCGGATGCTTGTGGGCGAGTCAGATCTCCAGGAGAGGCGATGCAGTCCCTTCCTTACAGAGCTGCTGGGCGGGTCCTGCAAGGCAGTGCCTGAGAACACGTCACCATCCCCACAGTGAGACGTATGGGTCACCACGAGCAAAGACCTGTGTCCCTGAGGAGCCTCCTGATGGTTTAGATCAGAGTGGGTAGCAGCAGCACCCAGGAGCTAGGGTACAGTGAGTCGCCCAGGCACATCGTTGTCCTGTGACACCCATTCCTGGACAGACTACACCTCCAGTGAACATTCTTGGTACAAAGTTCAACTCAGAACCAACCCAGATGGTCCTACTCAGTCGTTTACAAGCGAGGATGCAGGCTGCACTCGAGGCTCCTCACAGAGGCAGGGCCTCCCGATTAAGCATCCCTGCGAGATCAAGGTCTGGCCCGTTACTTCCAACGCCTTTGGATTGCCTGATGCTTTCCCCCTGGAGAGGCTGCCTGCACAGAGGGGCACAGGCTCAAACACTGTCCCTACAATGCCAGGGCGCGCGGCACCCTGCTGGCTTCGGCATGTGGGAGAAGGACACTGACCACCTGCTACTCTATCCCCAGATGGAGGTGGACGCCGAGGAGAAGCGTCATCGCACGCGGTCCAAAGGGGTTCGAGGTACGTCCACGCCCCCCGACTCCCTGGAGGCCCCTCGGGGTCACCTTCATGCTGCAGAAGCTGTTGCCTGATGCGCTCTGACCGCTGCCTGCCCCCCTCGGGAATGTTGTGTGGAAGAGGGTGCTGTGGTCGATGACGCCTTGTTATCTGTTTCCCTCTCTCTGCAGTTCCCGTGGAGCCAGCCATCCAGGAGCTGTTCAGGTCAGTGCTCTGTGGGTACATGTGTCCCCATTGGCAGTGTGGGAAGTCCAGGCGTCTCATGCCAGACTGTACGTCCAAGTGCATGGGTCTCCTCACGGCCGCTGCCCTGATGCAGTTGCCTCCCCTGAGACTCACTAATGAAAAGCACCCCTAACCGCCCCTCCAGGTTTGCACTTCCCTGTCCATCTGTGTGGCCCTCCTTCTCTGTCCTGTCACTGACGCTCCCGGTCTAACCGCCTGCGGCATGTGGCACCGTGTAATTCATTCTTTCCCGTTGCAGCTGTCCCACGCCCGGCTGTGATGGCAGCGGCCATGTTAGTGGCAAATATGCAAGACACAGAAGGTAATGCCTGCGTTCTTTCACGTGGTACGTCTCAGGTGACTTAGGGGCCGACCACTGCTGACAGTGGTGGGCAGCTGTTCTTGGAGAGCAATGAGTGCTGTGCTTTCCCTCGGACATGAGCCTGGTCGTTGGTCTCGTACAGGTTCTCAGCACGTGAGCCATTCTTCCTATTTCAGGGGCAAATTTATGGTCATACGTACGACGACATAAATTAAGGCCAGTCTGAAGGCCCTTTGCCATGCACATGGGGACGGCGCTGACATTGAGAGGCTTCTCCTCCCCCGTTTCTCCTGCCGGAGCTGCAGGACATAAATCACAGACGCTAAATCAGAGTGTGGCCTTCAGGTCTCCCTGCAGAGCGTGGCTTCCCTAACGGAACAGTTTGTCCCAGGATGAGAGCCCCCCAGTGCTGGCAGCTGAGGGGCGGTGCCGGGAGGGAAACAGGGCTGGTTGCCCCAGGAGAGTCTGGGCTTTAAAGGGTCATGTTGTCCTCATAAATCCCGGGACTCAGGCGTGTCAGAGGAGGGTGTGGGAGCATCTCAAGGTGGCTAAGTCATGGTTGCTACGGATGCATCACAGCAGAGCCTGTCCGCACCTGAGGCGTGGGTGGTTGGGGGAGGGCGGTTTCCTCTTGGACACTGAGCAGCCCCCTCCCCCTTCCTGTGGGGTTTCCGTTGTGATGAGTGAAGTGTGCACAGGCTGTCACACACTCTGAGCTGTCACCCCACCTGACAGACCATCGGAGACCAGGGCACGGCCGCAGCCCAGATGCCGAAGCAGGTGTGTCCTCGGCAGCCGGGCGACCTCCTCACTTCCACACTCACGTCCGTCCAGCTGAACACGAACTTATGGGTGAAATCAAGCAATTATTTTGAATGTCCTCTTGTAAAATCGGGGAAAGTGACTCCCCGGATTCCCATATAGCATTTAAGGAGGCCGGAGTTTTTAATGAGCATCCATGGTGGAGGATTGTCAGACTTCCGTTATGTATGCACTAAAGGAATAGCAAGGTCTCTTTTTAAGGAAATTTTGTGATTTAAAATATTAAAGTTGATTTATTATATTAGTGTTATTACTGTACGAAAGAGTAAATGATTGAACTACGTGATTTAAATAGTTAAAGAATTTGTGCAATGTATGCAGGAGTGTTTATATAAATCTAATCTAAAAGTCTTAGAAAAACCACCTGGTATTTTCACTGGGAAACAGGTTAGCAAGCCATGAGTGAAATCTCATTTTCCCCTCGTCATCTCTTGATTAGTCACTGGTTAAACTTTATCATACTATTAAAAAATGATTAAATAACAAAAAGTTTTAATTAAGTGTCAGCTAGATATTTCATAATCACAGTTTTACAGGAAAAATTATGACGTTTCCTAAGAATTGTTTCAGACACTCACGTCCCTACCGAGGTGCCCCGTCAGCTGCCATGTGTCCCAGGCAGCCCTCCTGCCTCTGAGACTCCTCCCTGCAGGAGGCCTGGGCTGGGCTGGCATGATCCGAGGGTGGCTCTGGCTCGCGACGGATGCTGACGTGGCGCAGAGCACCGGCCATGCAGGAGCGAGGCAGATGGAATCGTAGGGAGGCTCACAGAAACATCCAGATCGGAGATGTTTCAACAAGTTTTTACCTGACTTTTCTTAATGCTATAATTTTTACCATGAGCCGTTTTGTTTGTCATTGTTAGAATTCCTACTTTTTTAATGGGAATAGTTTATTAGGGATGTAGGGTAGGGGAGAGTGGAGAGCTGCTCCCAGCACAGACACGGGTGCTGTGCCTCCACCCACCACCACCACTTATTTAACGTCATGGGCACCTTCCCCAGCGGTAACCCGAGGGGTGTACAGACCTTGTGTGAGACTCATCACCTCTCACAACTTAGTCACCGGATGCGTTTCCCGCTGTGGAACCTCCTTGAGGTGTCCAGTGAGGCTTTCTCCTTATTTTTTGATGTCTACGTATTACCAGAATGTGTAGCTGAGGGATGACATTTGGTTTCTTAACCTGGAAAGGTGCCCCTTCTTAGGTAAGATGCACCTACGCATCAGTGTCCTTGGACCGTTGCCCATTCCCATTGTGGGAGCTCTGGCTGTAAAAGCCTTCCTTCTGTGGCAGGTCCTTCCACAGGCACGGGCACGTGAACACCTGCCCCACAGGTGTGGCCTTGACCTCTGCTGTCCTGTCTCTGCTGCGTGGGGGCAGCGGCCGCTCCAGATGGCCCAGAGGCAGCCTCCTGGGTTCTCACAAGAGCACCCACACTCCGGTCTTTCCAGGATAAGTTTTTGAATGAATGTCTTTCCGTTAGGGCTACAATTTTATTTTATTCAGTTATCACATTAGTTCATAGACCAGGAAAAGGTGTTATTTTAGTATGTTGAAGTTTTTATTTACTTGAACATGCAAAAAATAATTGGAGGCAGGTATGTGGAATTAACAATATCAAAAATCAAAACAATTTTTAGGAAATTTGATACCAAGTGATAAAATGATGTCTGTCGGTTCTCTTTTTGACTTTATTGAATATATTGGGTCAGTATTGGTTAGTAGGATTATATAAGTTTCAGGTGTACAATTCTATAATTCATCATCTGTATATTGCATGGTGTGCTCACCACCCAGTATCAGTTCTCATTCCAGCATCATATTTTGAACCCCCGACCTTTCTTTTTATCGTAAGGAAATTTCTAAGGGAACCAAACATTGATTGCAGTCTCTGTGCACACTCTTGCTTGTAGGACACACGGTGTAGTCCTTGACAGCTGGTCACTCCGCGTCACTGCGCTGTGGCTGCCGTGGCAGCTGCTGGCATTCATGGCTCACTCGCTCGTTTTCAGTTGAGGCAGGTGGGGCTGTGGGTTTGTAAGAAATTGGCATGGAGGGCAGCGGAGCCTCCTCCTCCAGACATCCCTGTGAAAGGGAGCATAACTTGAAAAAAGGACTTCAGAGTGTAAGATCCTGGTTAAAAAGGCGGGGGGGGGGGGGAGGAGTTAAGGTCCTAATACTTATTTTTTGATGGTCTTGCCTTACTTAAAAAATTGTGTCCTTGCACAAGAGGTAATCTATCATGAATATTTGTGTTAATAGCTCATGGCTAGTTTGAGGTAGCTGATAAACACACATACAACTGTGCAGTTAAAAGTGAGAGGGAGCCCAGCCCATGTGGCTCAGTGGTTGAGCATCGACCCATGAACCAGGAGGTTGCCGGTTGGTTCCCAGTCAGTCAGGGCACATGCTGGGTTGTAGGCTCGATCCCCAGTGTGGGGATCAATGATTCTCTCATTATTGATGTTTTTTTCTCTCTTTCCCTCTCTGAAATCAGTAAAAATATATTTTTTAAAAAGTTAAAGAAAGAAAGTAGGAAAAACATGAGGGAAATTGGAAACCCAGACTGTATCAGGGGTTTTCATGTAGCACAGCATGTAGTTGATCCCCTGGCAGTCGAGGCAGAAATGAGAAAGGAGGGGGTTCCCACACAGAGGCGAGCGCACGCGGCTCCTCAGAGACTTCCTCTGGCCGGGAGGGGAGTGCTTGGATCCCAGCCCCTGGCCGGCAGGGACCCGAGCCCGGCCAGCACTTCTTTGCCCTGAAGTAGGAAGTCAGGCTCAGGCTTTCCATACAGCGAACCCACATGCCCGACACTTATCTTCGGGAACATCGCTGTGTCTCTCACAGGCGGCTGCCTTGTTTCTCACTGCGCCTTCTATCGTCCGCGCATGTGCACGACAGAAACCCAGAAAACCGGCAGTTTGCACTTGGCTGGAAGTCACTCTCCTCCTAGGAGCCAGGCCTCTCTGACCCCCTCTTCTCCAGCCGCATCAGCCACCAGCTGTGCGGTGCTGACACCCCTGCTGAGGTCCTGTGGCTTTTCCTGCACCTGGCCTGCCGGGGGCGCCGCAGCCATGATGTGCCTCCGAGGTGCGGTCCCCTCACAGAGCTTCCTCTGCAGAAACGAAGGAGCTCCCGGTCCTTTCAGTGAGTTTAGTTGTTAGAGGCTCACGTTTGGGAACCAAGCTTCCCGGACCCCTTCGCTCTGCTCCCTGGGTGCCCTGTCCCCAGTGAGCGAGCACTTAGGACCCTCGTGGCTGAAAAGCCGGTTCCCACGCGCCCACAGCCGTTGTCTGGGTGGGTGAGGCAGGAGGTGAGGGAAGGCTTGGAAGCACCTACTGGGAATCTGGGAAGTTGCTGGCCTGCTCTCCCCGACAGCAGTGTTGGCAGGAGGCTCCAGGCACAGTGTGAACGTGGATCCGCGCGAAGCTGCGGCTGCGGAGCTCCGACGCCAGAGCCTGTACCAACGGCCGTCACCAGGAGGGCGTTTTCGGTGACGGCCCCAAACCTAAGCCTGACTCTGTGGAAGGAGGGAGGCGGGCGAAGAGAAGCCGCACGTCCGCTTTGTCTGCCGTTGTTTTAGCTCAGTCCCAGCACCCGGTAGACACCTCGCTCTAATCCAGAGTCTACAGGAGCTGGTACTGCGACGCTGGCTCCCATGGGGACGGTCAGTGTTCTGCCCAGGCTGCTCGTGAACACTGGGCTGAGATGGAAGTTCTAGGACCTGAGTCACAGTGTCGAGTTCTCCTCCTGGGTTGAAGGCGGGCACTGTCTGTGTTGGAAACCAAGTGCAAACTGACGCTGAGAAAGTGGACTCTCTGTGGAAATGAAACTTGTCACCAAAGTAACAGCTTACTGCTCTTTTTTATTGGACAGTCTTTTCTTCTTTCTTTTATTTATTTATATTTTATTTTTATTGATTTTGAGAGAGAAGAAGGGGAGGGGAGAGAGAGAAACATTGACCAGTGCCTCCTGCACACACCCTACCAGGGATCAAACCCACAACCTGGGCATGTGCCCTGACCAGGCATCAAACCAGCAGCCTTTCAGTGCACAGGACGACCCTTAATAACTGAGCCACACCAGCCAGAGAAGCTTATTGTTCTTAGGTTTTTAATTTTCCTAATAAAATTAGAAATTGGAATAATCAAAATGTATTAGTATCTATGATAGG